TTTTAGAAGTCTCTTCCAAAGCCAATAGAGCACAAGACTTGGGAGTTGATATACTTGAGTTTTAATCTTGATTCTTACTGGCCCATGTTTTGTGCCACCAGTACATCATTTAACTTCACCATGTCTAGTTTATTCTTTTGGTTTAAAAGGATTAATCCGCCATTGAAGATGAGTGAGCTTCAACTGAGATGAAACGTGGGGAAGTGTTTAAAAATCGTAAAGGTGGTATTGTGAGGTGGTAAAGCAGCACATCCCCTGATAACTGTTACTGTGCAGTAGCCTAGTTTGAATTCTTAGCTGTAGAGCAGTAATAATAATATTTAAAATAGCTCTGTAAATCATGCTGGTTTCCTAATACGCTTTAAATTACAGAGTACTTACTACGTATAGGAGCCTCAGGTGTTGAAATTCGGGTATTTTCACATTTTCTCTCCACCTCATCCCATGTGCCCTCCCTTGGGACACAAACCAGCCATGTTTTTCTCTACCACCTTTTCATTCTAGTCCAGCATTTAATTTCTGGCATCAGGATTAAGAGTGGTACTATCTTCACTATTTTGGGGTAGTCTCTTCTGGTTTAAATTTGCCTTTCAACTGACATGTATCAACTTTTCTGAAACTTAGAGAGTTCTATCAGACCCTAAACATTTCCTGTTGACTTCAGAGACATGTGTTACTTCTAAACAATTAAAAGCCAAAGTGGCAGGGAGGGGGCAGAGTCTCCTTTCTTTGGTGTTAAGAAGAACTCTCAGGAGGAAAATACTTGGGGCACCCGTTGCTGGTAGAGGGACACTTGGGGGTTTGAGAACACTGTAATGATTAGCTTACCATTCATTTATGTAGCATACCTTTTCGAAGATAATTATCGATGTTATCCCCATTTTGTGAATGAACAGTTGAGGTGTAGGCAGGGAAATTGTAACTTGAATGTAGAACTGTTAACATCAGAATCATTACCTTCTACGTTAAATTGATCAACAAAGCATGTTGCAGAGGTCTGGTTTGCTCATGTCTGACGTTATAAAAGATGTAAAGGCCAGGAGCTTAAGGATTAATCCGCCATTGAAGATGAGTGAGCTTCAACTGAGATGAAACGTGGGGAAGTGTTTAAAAATCGTAAAGGTGGTATTGTGAGGTGGTAAAGCAGCACATCCCCTGATAACTGTTACTGTGCAGTAGCCTAGTTTGAATTCTTAGCTGTAGAACAGTAATAATAATATTTAAAATAGCTCTGTAAATCATGCTGGTTTCCTAATACGCTTTAAATTACAGAGTACTTACTACGTATAGGAGCCTCAGGTGTTGAAATTCGGGTATTTTCACATTTTCTCTCCACCTCATCCCATGTGCCCTCCCTTGGGACACAAACCAGCCATGTTTTTCTCTACCACCTTTTCATTCTAGTCCAGCATTTAATTTCTGGCATCAGGATTAAGAGTGGTACTATCTTCACTATTTTGGGGTAGTCTCTTCTGGTTTAAATTTGCCTTTCAACTGACATGTATCAACTTTTCTGAAACTTAGAGAGTTCTATCAGACCCTAAACATTTCCTGTTGACTTCAGAGACATGTGTTACTTCTAAACAATTAAAAGCCAAAGTGGCAGGGAGGGGGCAGAGTCTCCTTTCTTTGGTGTTAAGAAGAACTCTCAGGAGGAAAATACTTGGGGCACCCGTTGCTGGTAGAGGGACACTTGGGGGTTTGAGAACACTGTAATGATTAGCTTACCATTCATTTATGTAGCATACCTTTTCGAAGATAATTATCGATGTTATCCCCATTTTGTGAATGAACAGTTGAGGTGTAGGCAGGGAAATTGTAACTTGAATGTAGAACTGTTAACATCAGAATCATTACCTTCTACGTTAAATTGATCAACAAAGCATGTTGCAGAGGTCTGGTTTGCTCATGTCTGACGTTATAAAAGATGTAAAGGCCAGGAGCTGTAAGAGATTTTTTTTTGAAAAGAAACTTTAGGGACAGAGAAGCAGAACATCATCCTCTCCCCTGCAGTCCACCATTCTGGTTTGATTTGGGAAGAGTTGAAAAAAAGTTGGGGGGTAGTTTGCCATTTCCTCTGTCTTTTGGAAATAGGTGAGGTTTGTTTGTGTTTTAACCATTTGAAGGTATCTCATCATTTACCTTAAGAGGGTTGTCTGTCATTTTCATTTCATCCTTCCTGTGTCTCCCACTGTAGTTGCTAATAGCTATTGCTTGCCAGGGACTTGAGTCGCGTCTAGGTCTGGAGTGAGCCATCCATAGCTCATCTGGCATTGTTAGTCAGGACCAACTTGGGGTCCCTGTGACATGACCTTAGTTTACCCCAACCTGCAGGAAAATGGACCTCTTCTATAGTCCCTCCCCCACACCCCTACAGCCTTGCACCTGTACTCATGTGGAAAGAAGCACATATTCCACTGAGATTTTTTAGAGGGAGAATAAAGGCTTGGAATTGTCTCGTGTGTTTGAGGGTGAGATTTTCAAGATAAAGTCTAAAAGAACAATGGTGGTACCTGATGGAGCCTCAGAAGACAGTGACGGCCCCAGTCTGTTCCTTTTTCTTCCCCGCCTTAGCACCTTGTTAACTCCATCCCACACTGTTCCTTTGTAGCTCAGTTAGGAAATACCCCTTTCTGCCCTCACAGAGGAATACGTGGGAGAATGTCTGCTGCAGTTAGAAGAATGGTTCTGTCCTCATTGCTTTGCACTTCTCTGCATGGAGACCCCCTCTTTGTGATTGAAACAGGCTATGTAGGCAGACCCTGTCACTGGTCAGGCACATAATCATTGGGGTGAGAGGAAAGGCCTTGAAACAGCTAAAAAGAAATGGCCGAAGCCCCTGTACCAGAATTCACACACCTTCTTAGTGGCAGTTAACCTGCATCCCTCACCTTTGAACAAATGTTAACCTGGAGCCTCATGCAGTCCAGATGCCACTTGGATATAAGAGGCTGCTGTGAAGAGTCACTTTGTTAGCTGTAAGAGGTGACTGCTAATCCCTAGGAGATCAGAAGAACTGAAAGTGTATACATGAGAAGCAGATGCAGAATTCTGAGACTTCTTACTGAGGGCCAATAGGCCCACCCACCTCATCAGGGACATCGCAGGGTCCATGCACCTCTCTGCATCTGAGGAGAGGAGCCTAGTGATGCCTGGGGATGGGGCCAATGTGAGGTTTACAGGCAAACCTTTGAGAGAGCGTCAGTGGCGGCCTCAATCCAGTCTATAGAGTCAGAGTCATAGAATTTTAAGTTGAGCACACTCCTTTTAATCTGATCTTTTTCTTACCTCATTAGATTGCTGGATTTTGATGTAATGTTACCACTTCATATAACATACGTAACAAATCCTAGCATTTCCCACATATCTGAAATAAATTAATTGTGAAGTGTCTGAAGATAAAAATGCCTTTTTGGGGGTGGGAGTATAAAGAAAACTAGAATAGTGTGAAAAGCTTGACTTTTAGAGACATTCCTTTTTCCATTGCTATTTGAAAGTAGAATCTGACGTTTGTGGTAATGCTTCTGCATGTAATCTTACTTTACTAGGATCAAAGCACAGTCTTCTATTGTTTTTTGGTAGAAGAGGAGGAAGTTAAGGAAAAACCAACATATTCTGAGATTGGGCAGACTTAAAATGGATACTTGCTATCCGTCATCTTCTCTTCAGATGTTTTCCATCTAGCAAAGAACTGAGGATCTCAACTAAAGAGGAGAAAAGGGGAAAGGGGGAAAGCGGTAAGACCCTATGTGGGACTGGCTGTCACCCTTCCCTGGGTGTACCCAGGTTGCTGCACAGCTGGCTGCCTTCTCCCCGTGGCTCTTAGCAGACACTGTGCCCAGTCCATCTGCAGGCATTTGGGCCACTACCATTCTGGTGTGGTTCGCACAGGCTGCCGAGAAAATAGCAGACTCATGAAGCGTCGACCCTGGCCTCAAGAAGCTAATCGTTGGAATAATACATGAAACAACAGCAAAAATAAAAGATGATGATTAGTTCCCAAACTCTGTGGCCCAGAGCCTAAATGTGTATATTTGAGGGGAAGGGAGATGTGTGAAAACTGGAATGGTTGGAAGTGTCTCCTGGAAAGATGTGCCTTGAAAGTTGGATGTGGTGTGGCAGGATGGCCAAGGAAACATGGGGGCTGGGGAGGTAGGATAGCGGCCACCAAGTCAGCCAGGCCGAGTGCAGGCCATGCATCTGCCCAAGAGGCAGCCTCTGCTAGAGGAGTGATGGGAAGGAGAAAGGCCTGTGGGAAGGGCGGAGCTGGAGGCAGCTGACTTGAGCTTGCTCCCAAAACAGTACATGATACAGGCCCATTGAAAATTTTATGTGCGTATATATGTATGTCTAATCTTTAACGTTTGCTTTGTTTTTTGAAAATGTTCATCTTCCAAGGGTCTCTTGGATTTTGATAGAACTAGGTAAAAGGAAAGGACATTTGGGATATTCGGTTTAGACTACTCTCTTATTTTTTTCCTTTATCTTACTTCTCAGTAAGTCATACCCTTTTACTGAACCCTGCCCGTCACCCTTACAAAACCCACACTTGGAAATTCTGATGTGGTGGTGTGTCCCTTTTTATCACTTTGAGCCAACCTTAGGAAATCTCAACCCAGCAGGTGGTAAGCCAGTTTTACATCTAAAGCAGTCAGAAAATCCGTGGAGGTGTTTGCCGTGCATCTGCAAAAACCTGTGGATTGTAGCAGTAGCTCCAAAGCTCTTTATGAAAACTGGGTTCCAGCTTCTATAAGCATTTCTAAATTATGTAGCTTCCATGATCAAACAAATGTTTACAGAGTGATCCACAACCATCCCTTGGGTAAATTTTTGTCTTCTAAGGCTATTAGATAAGTGCTGTCCTTGGACTGTATGAGCACACATTTCTTAAGATTTTAGTTTGGGTAGGAGAGTGCAGGGCACGCTCTTTGGGCCGTAGCCGGGAGCCAGTTTCTGCCCCATTGGATGATCTCTTTCTACCTTTGCTCACCTGTTTCTAGCCTAAACCCACCAAGGGACGAATGCGCATCCATTGTCTGGAAAATGTGGACAAGGCCCTTCAGTTCCTGAAGGAGCAGAGAGTCCATCTTGAGAACATGGGGTCCCACGACATTGTGGATGGAAACCACCGGCTGACCCTTGGCCTCATCTGGACCATCATCCTGCGCTTCCAGGTAAGAGACTTGGCTCAGGGATTCTGCCTTCCTCCTGGGTAAGAGCATCCTTGTGCAGCTGCCCTCCCCATTCCAGAGGGACTGGGAAGACCAGGTTGAAATGGCATCTTAGAATCACATGTGTGGAGCTGTGAGTCACATCCAGCTGCCCTATGGGCATGGGGCAGCTGTCGCATCCTCCTCCCTTAGTTCTGCTAACCCTGAAAGCCTTGGCTGTCCTGTCAGATGGGAGAGTTTCTGGGCGGCATCCCAGCCCACCACTTCACCCGTGCCATCCCCAGACGTCTGCTGTGTGCTGCTCAGCTTTCCAGGAGCAAAGGTCTAGGGATGTGCATGATGGAAGGTTACTAGCACTAGACTGTCCAAACTCGGCCAGGTTGTAGCATGTATCAGAATATTTTTAGGAGAAGCTGTTTAGGATTATGATACTTGTGGGTCCATTTTCACCTCCTCATCCTCCTTTGGATGTGAGGAAGCAGTTTTCAGGGGCAGTGTGCAAAAAAAGCCTTATCCTTGTTTGAATTGATAGCCATTTTATGGGTTTGTTATGTTTGGGGGCAAGGCTCTAAGTAGTAGAAGTACTATAAGTCAGAAGGTACTCAAGGTAATTTTGTCTAATTGCTTCACATTACCAAGAAAGGGATGAGCCTTGCTCAGGATCACACAGCCAGCTGGGGCTGTAGTGCATGCTTCTGACCCCTGAGGAGAGGGCTCAGCCTTTCAGGACTGTGAAACACCTCTGGGCTGATGAGTGGTTCTTTCTCCAGGTGAATGCTTCATGCTCTTGCTTGTCAATTAAAATTTGAAATGCAGGAAACACTTCTTACCATAGTGTCAGGTTACTCTGCAAACAAAGTCCTAATAGTCCTGTCTCCTTGGTGGCTGTGTTCTGTGCTTTTCCTTCCTGTTGTACCACTTTGAAAAAAAGTCTGATTGATTTTTCTGTGTAAATAAAAACCACACCAAAAAAGGAAAAAACAGAAATCAGATTATAGCTTTCTTTGTATCCTTTTTAAAACTCCAAAATCAGCCTGTAAACATCGTTTTCCTTCTTGCTCCCCCTGGGATTGGGCCTGAGTTTACCGTGTCCTGGGTGTTAATGTGGGAGGATGGCGTAGGGAGCTAAAAAAGAGCTCTACAGAGAAACTTCCTGAATGGGTGGTTCCCAAGACTGGCTTACCATCTGACTCCCTGCGGAAACTTTTTACTAACTCAGATTACCCAGCCCCAGCCTTGGTGATTGTGAATAAGCAAGTCTGAGGAGGAACCACTTCTAATGACATCGTTCATGGAATTAATTACAACAATCAACGACTTTATTTTGCAAACAGAACTCTTACATAGGCTTCTGTCATTTAGCTCCTGAATGATTAGAAAGTGAAGTGAATATCATTACGTTCACTGATTATTGCTCTCAGTCTTAGGCCAACTGAGGTGAAATTATCGGGACAATCCTTGAGCCTCACGTCAGTTGTGTAGAGTAAGATGTTCTATTTCTATTGCCTGGGGCCTGTAGTAATCCAATCATGGAAGGGCATACTGCTGGTGGACCTTCATGTCAGGTCAGTGCCCACAGTGGTCAGCTGGCACCACAGCCCTCTCCTGGATTCTCAACAGGAATTGGGTTGAGTCATTGACTAATCAGCTTCCTGACAGATTGCCTTTTTTCTGTACTTAAATTTGTAAATGCTGACAACGACTTTCTCTTTTTCATTTGAGGCTAGAAACACAGGCTGCCCATGTCACTTCACAGCCTGCAGTATTGGTGTCTTACATGACCCCGGTTTCTCCAGCAGCTTTCTTAAATCATAACCCTTTCCAAGCGTGTTGGTTCTGCATCAGCTGAGGCCTAGCTTACTTTCTGTATGAAGCTTCCCCATATATCTACAAAATCTCTTTCCTGCCAGCTCCTGATTTTACAGCCTTGTCTCAGCGTTTCAGTGTGTGTGTGCGTGTGTCCGTGTCCAGAGCCCCCAGGACATGGCCTGGCCTGTCTGTGTGTAGCAGATATCCATTAAATCCATATGTGATGACATACAGGGTTTATGCTGCTGTCCCTTTAAAAGAAGGTGTGGGAAACTGGGATGAAAATCTGAGTTTGCCCTGTCTGTAAATAGGGAGTTAATGTACATTTCAGAAGGTAGGCTACGTGTGTTTTAAATGTACAAATGTGGAAACAGGTTCCCTTCTTCACACAGGAGCATAAGAAAGTTGTCAGGGGTTAATGTATAACATTCCACCTGCGTTTTTTGGTGAGTCTGTATTCTCACCTCTTCAGTGAGAGTTACTCTTTCACATTTACTTTCTGTACATGAGCTAATGATCCTAATAATAGAACATGGAGTTTATGCAAACTCGGATTTTGAATATTTACCACAGTTAAAAATGGAGAGGTTTTTTTTAAGAGGTATAATGATTTTAAATCTAAGTGTTTTTTCTAGTTGAAAGTTTCGAATTTTTTAATCTTTTTTAAAATTTTATTTTGGTATCATTACTCTACAATTACATGAGGAACATTATGTTTACTAGACTACCCCGATCACCAAGTTCCCCCCACATTCCCCATTGCAGTCACTGTCCATCAGCATAGTAAGATGTTGTAGAATCACTACTTGTCTCCTCTGTGTTGTACAGCCCTCCCATGTCCCCACACACATTATACATGCTAATCGTAATGCCCCCTTTCTTTTCTCCCCTCCCCACCCCCCCACCCTTTATCCCTCTGTTCCCACCCATCCTCCCCAGTCCTTTTCCTTTGATAACCATTAGTCCATTCTTGGGTTCTGTGCTTCTGCTGCTGTTTTGCTTCTTCAGTTTTTCCTTTGTTCTTATACTCCACAGGTGAGTGAAATCATTTGATACTTGTCTTTCACCACCTGGCTTATTTCACTGAGCATAATACCCTCTAGCTCCATCCATGTTGTTGCAATTGGTAGGATTTGTATGGCTGAATAATATTCCATTGTGTATATGTACCACAGCTTCTTTCTCCATTCATCTACTGATGGACACTTAGGTTGCTTCCATTTCTTGGCTATTGTAAATAATGCTTCTATAAACATAGGGGTGCATCTGTCTTTTTCAAACTGGGCTGCTGCATTCTTAGGGTAAATTCCCAGGAGTGGAATTCCTGGGTCAAATGGTATGTCTATTTTGAGCTTTGTGAGGAACCTCCATACTGTTTTCCACAATGGTTGAACTAGTTTACATTTCCACCGGCAATGTAGGAGGGTTCCCGTTTCTCCACAACCTCGCCAACATTTGCTGCTGTTTGTCTTTTGGATGGTGGCAATCCTTACTGATGTGAGGTGGTATCTCATTGTGGTTTTAATTTGCATTTCTCTGATGACTAGCAATGTGGAGCATCTTTTCATGTGTCTGTTGGCCATCTGAATTTCTTCTTTGGAGAACTATCTGTTCAGCTCCTCTGACCATTTTTTAATTGGATTATTTGCTTTTTGTTTGTTGAGGTGTGTGAGCTCTTTATATATTTTGGATGTCAACCCTTTATCGGATCTGTCATTTATGAATATATTCTCCCAAACTGTAGGATGCCTTTTTGCTCTCTTGGTGGTGTCCTTTGCTGTCCTTTTCAGCTTGATGTAGTCCCACTCGTTCATTTTTGCTTTTGTTTCCCTTGCCCAGGGAGATATGTTCATGAAGAAGTCACTCATGTTTATGTCCATGAGATTTTTGCCTATGTTTTTTTCTAAGAGTTTTATGGTTTCATGACTTACATTCAGGTCTTTGATCCATTCTGAATTTACTTCTGTGTATGGGATTAGACAATGATCCAGTTTCATTCTCTTACATGTAGCTGTCCAGTTTTGCCAACACCAGCTGGTGAAGTGGCTGTCATTTCCCAATTTTATGTCCATGGCTCCTTTATCATGTATTAATTGATCATATATGTTTAGGTTAACATTTGGACTCTATTCTGTTCCACTGGTCTGTGGGTCTGTTCTTGTGCCAGTACCAAATTGTCTTGATAACTGTGGCTTTGTAGTAGAGCTTAAAGTTGGGAAGCCAGATCCCCCCTGCTTTATTCTTCCTTCTCAGGATTGCTTTGGCTATTCAGGGCCTTTTGTGGTTCCATATGAGTTTTAAAACTATTTGTTCCAGTTCGTTGAAGAATGCTGTTGGTGTTTTGATAGGCATTGCATTGAATCTGTAGATTGTTTTAGGCTGGATGGCCATTTTTGACAATATTAATTCTTCATAGCCAAGAGCATGGGATGAGTTTCCATTTGTTAGTGTCCTCTTTAATTTCTCTAAAGAGTGCCTTGTAGTTTTCAGAGTATAGGTCTTTCACTTCCTTGGTTAGGTTTATTCCTAGCTATTATATTCTTTTTGATGCACTTGTGAATGAAATTGTTTTCATGATTTCTCTTTCTGTTAGTTCATCGATCATGTATAGGAAAGCAACAGATTTCTGTGTATTAATTTTATATCCTGTAACTTTGCTGAATTCAGCTATTAGTTCTAGTAGTTTGAGAGTGGAGTCTTTAGGGTTTTTTATGTACAATATCATGTCATCTGAAAATAGTGAGACTTTGACTTCTTCCTTCCCAATCTGGATGCCTTGTATTTCTTTGTTTTATCTGATTGCCATGGCTAGGACCTCCAGTACTATGTTGAATAGCAGTGGGGAGAGTGGGCATCCCGGTCTTGTTCCCGATCTTAGAGGATAAGCTTTCAGCTTCTCACTGTTAAGTATGATGTTGGCTGTGGGTTGTCATATATGGCCTTTATTATGTTGAGGTACTTGCCCTGTATACCCATTTTGTTGAGAGTTTTTATCATGAATGGATGTTGAATGTTGTTGAATGCTTTTTCAGCATCTATGGAGATGATCGTGTGGTTTTTGTCCTTCTCTTTTTTTGTTGATGTGGTGGATGATGTTGATGGATTTTCAAATGTTGTACCATCCTTGCATCCCTGAGATCAATCCCACTTGATTGTGGTGTATGATCCTCTTGATGTATTTTTGAACTCGATTTGCTAATATTTTGTTGAGTATTTTTGCATCTATGTTCATCAGGGATATTGGTCTGTAATTTTCTTTTTTTGTTGGTCTTTGCATGGTTTTGGTATTAGAGTGATGCTGGCTTCTTAGAATGAGTTTGGAAGTATTCCCTCCTCTTCTATTTTTTGGAAAACTTTAAGGAGAATGGGTATTATGTCTTCTCTATATGTCTGATAAAATCGAACTTTTTAATCTTTATTTGTATATTTTATCCTCTTCCTGTCTCTTTTTCAAAAAGAATTCTGGGGCATCTTTCTATACTGAATGGGAAGCCCTTGGACATTCCTTATATCGTGGAGCCTGGATTCCAACATAGGCAGTCTGACCTTGGTGCCAGTAGACCAGGTCCTGTATATAATGTTGAAGATATGCTGCCTCTAAGTGGCTTATGAATGCAGACTGTTTTTGGCTGCTGTAACAAAATACCACAGACTGGGTAGCTTATGAAAATAGAAATTTATTTTTCAAAGTTTCGGAGACTGTAAGTCTCCGATCAAGGTGTCCGCATGATTGGGTGATGGCCCTATTCCAGGTCGCAAGCTTCTCACTGTGTTCTCACATGGTAGAGGGCACTAAGGGTCTCTCTGGAGCCTATTTTGTAAGATACCAATCCATTCGTGAGGGTCCTCATGACTTAAGCACGTCCCAAAGGCCCGACCTACTAATGCCATAACCTTTGAGGATTAAAATTTCAACATAAGAATTTTGGGAACATGCAAACAATTCTACCTGAACGCAGACCATGGAGGTGCAATGTTTAAGTGCATGCTTTCTCCAAGAGCATGGGTCTGCTCCCAGGAAATGATGTACGCACTCTCCTCATCTTTGGACACACACACCCTGGTGTGAAAAATGTTTTGTTATGGAAAACTGAACTTAGTGTTTTTGAGGGTCTGATGAGGTTCAAGGTGTACTGTATGAACCATAGCTCTACCTTGCAAATGGAAAAATGGGCTTAAGTGTAGCGATGACACCTAATAGGTTCTAGGAAGTCATGCAGGTAACGTTGTCTTCACTTCCATCTTATCTCTGCAACGTAGAAAACCTATTTCGGGCTGGCGTTTATATGAGTGAATCTTGGCTGTAGAAAGCATTTTTCACTGACACTCAGTAGATAGTCTCCAGGTCTGGGCTTTGATCTAAAGCTTACTCTTCATTCTTTGTGTATATGCAGGTCTGTTCTTCTGTGGCTGCCCTTAGGTAGCTGACACATCTATTCTTCTAATATTTCTTTGTAAATCTTAGATCCAGGATATCAGTGTGGAAACTGAAGACAACAAAGAGAAGAAGTCTGCCAAGGATGCATTGCTGTTGTGGTGCCAGATGAAGACAGCTGGGTGAGTGTGAACTCAGGTGGAATTGGGGACGTCTTCTCCCAGGATAAGTTCCACTGTAGTCACTTACAAGGTGTTGACAAGTATCTCTTCCACTGCTTGCATTGAGAAGTCCTGTTAACTCATAAGCAGTTAATATCCTGACATTTCCACTAACTCTCAGAATGGAAGGAGTTCTGATTTATATTCTGGACCTGCCATCTCCACATCAGTTTCCTTCTCTTTATTAAGGGAGCTCCAGGGAGCTGTATATCTTGAATTATAAAACCCTGAAACCATGTTTAAGAATCGTAGCCATATTTTAAAAAACAGTTGTGGGTTTTCTCCTCCCCTTAATTTTTGTTGCCTTAAGGGGGAGCTTTGTGCAGTAAACTTAAGAGTAGTGTTTGTATATTTTCTATTTTCCTTTTATTCTGTCATTGAAATTTTAGTGACAATACTTTTCAGAGAGCTTCATCTTTTTTGTTGCTCACTGAAATTGTTGGGGCTCATGGGTACTTACTGAGAACCAATTTGTACAGGTTACGTGGGGAGTTAGTGTTGGAACTACTTTGAAGACAACTGTAGTGGAGATGATCAGTCAGCAAGTATGGAAACCATATGGAGTGTATGTGATAAGGGGGTTGGGTTAGGGGTGAACTTTTAACCAACCACAGATAGTATTAATAACATTAATATTAATAGCTATAATTAATTCGGTGTGGCACACCTGATTGAGTAGGGGTGAGTTTCAAACATGGGGGAGTTTTAGGGGAGGTACTTGATTTACAAAACTCATCAAATTCAGTGATTGAAGAAAGCAAGCAAGCAGAATCGCATGACCAGGTAACCCCAGGTACTTTCCTTTTCAAAGAAACATGTGAAATCACATCTCAGTGACATCAGAGTTCTGGTGTCTCTGTTGGCAGAGTTGAAAGCCAGGAGAGGCAAAGAGGCCCTAGGAGGTGTTTAAGTTGTAGTCACTTTTTCCTCAATAAGGGTAGTTTTTTAAAAAAAAACTAGGACACTATTTAGATCTTTCATCAGATTGAATTACCGAGAAAGAAAATCCATGTGGATGTATATGTATTAATATTCTACAGCAAGTTGAACTCAAGGCAATATTTGCTCTGACTTGATTGTCCTTAATAATATTCCCTGCCCCACATTTTTACAGTGCTTACAAACTAAATTTTAGGCACTGCCTTCAGCTAAAGTGTACACCTTTGCTTAACTCTGTTGCTTTTCTCTTGTGCCTTGTCTTTGTTAGGTACCCCAATGTCAACATTCACAACTTCACCACTAGCTGGAGGGATGGCATGGCCTTCAATGCACTTATACACAAACACCGGTAAGTTCTTAGAGATCACACTAATACTGGGGTAGAATGCTCACAGTCTTCTTTAGTAGATCTGTGTGACTTTTGATCCTCCTATCCACTGATGTAGATACTGCACCATGGTGGAAATTCCTGCATGTCAGGAAAGTATAAGCAAATATGTAAATTATCCACCCAAAAAATAAGCAAGTTTGACCATTACCTTCATTTCCCTTAATAAACTTTGAAGTGTGTGTTCAGCAATCAGGTTTCATTGTGTGATGATTGATTAATGTTGTAGTTTTTACTCTGCTAAGTGATGATTTCAACACGTCTGGAGTAATTGTGTCTCAGTGGTCCCATGATGTGTTTTCAAGCCATAGTTTTTGTTGTGGTCTGTTGTTCTGCCCAGGCCTGACCTGATAGACTTTGACAAACTGAAGAAATCCAATGCACACTACAATCTGCAGAATGCATTTAACCTGGCAGAGCAGCACCTTGGCCTCACTAAACTCTTGGACCCCGAAGGTAAGAGCTTGAGGGGTAAAAGGTGGGACCTTTAGCATCTATAGTGCTGAGGGGTTAATATAAAATCTGCATTGTATCAGTTTGTTTTATTTGCACAGTGTGAAATGGGAATTACCCAAGAAAGAAAAGCTTAGGTTTGTTGTGGGAATTACTTGAGAATTTGTGCAAAGGATTACATTTGAAAAGGGCCTTGAAAGATGAGTACAATTTAAACATGCTCTGAAGGAGAGAGCATGCTAAGCAGAGAGACTTGCGTGAGCAAAGGTGCAGAACCAGGAAAGAGGAAGGTGTGTTTAGAGACTAAACAGTTCATTGAGAGTGGTGTTTAGAGTAATAATAATAAATGCCACTGAAAGGTGGGTGGGGGCCCAATAGGTTAAAATTTCTAGAGGTTACAGGAGGTAGTGGGAAGTCACTGAAATTCCTAGAAGCTGTGCTCAGGGAAGAGAGGCTCCCATAGGCTCTCGATGAATGCTTGTTGGCTGCCTTTCATCCCACAGTGGCAAGCAGCATGGTTTGGAATGGGTGGAGAATTGGGGGCAGGAACCTTGTTAGAGCACTGTACAGTGTTTGCTTATATGCAAGAAGACCGTAAATGAGGAAGGTGCATCAGGAAAGAGGAGAGTGTGGGTGGAAGGAGAAATAATACCATTCCTCCTTTGTGGCTGGCTGCTTGAAAGCACAGCACCCCATTCTCTACCTGGAACTGATCTCTCTGCACTGAGTTCCTGCAGCAGGACCCTATAGACCGACTGCAGGTGACATGGAGTTGACCTGTGTGGGGCAGACCTGCAGGTGGTGGCTCCTGTGCTTAACAACGTCCTAATTCTAGGCTTCTTTTTAGCATGAGCCACCATACGCAATTTTTCTAACTTTGAGGAGCATTTAAAGTATAAGAAGATTTGTACATAGTGCTGGAGAAATGATCTTCTTGGCTGTGAACAAATAATAAAGAAAACTATGTGAGTGAAAGCTTAAAGTTGTTATAAATACGGAACAGGAAGTTTAAGCCCCAAGGGCAGATTGAGGTCATGAGGCTGCCATGCAGGCTTCTTGCTATTTTCCAATGCATCAGATTGACTGATAAGTTCACTACAGGAAGCTGAGATAAAATTATCTTTGTGCTAACCCTTTAAATGATCTCTTAATATAAACATAAAAGTGAAATTCCTTGGCTGTGATTAATCTTTGTACATTTAACCCCTATCTTACTATGGGAAGGCATTCTTCCTTGGCCCTGGTTCTTTGTGCTTTGATGAAGGACCTTTTTTGTCCTATCACTATGACAACATTTTTTAAAATACCTTGCTCATTAATTAATATTTCTCATCACTACCAGTATGAAAAAGGGTGTTGATGTTCTCCGGATCCCAGAACAAAGAGCTAAAAAAGGCAGTGGATGTTGCTTATTCTGTGGTTTGATCTGGATTATTTTATTGTCCTCTTGTTCGGTGCCCCAGAGAACATCAGTTAAAATACAGTTGTATACAAGTTAAAAAACAAAGGTTTTGCTTGCTCAGTCCTTCCCAGTTGTGTCAATGTTTTGTGTTTATTAAATTGCTTATAGGAGCAGCATTTTTTTAGCCTTCCTCCAATTCACTCTTTGTGGGGCACACATTGACAGTGCTGAGGAGAAGTAAGCAAGCCCTGGGGTGGGAACAGTAGACAGGGGTCTAGCCCCCAGTGCCAGTGGCGGCCTCATGACACTGGGCAGGGAGCTTTCCAGCCCTGTGCCCTAGTTCTCATCTCTAAAGGAAGAGAAATGGTTCTGCCTCCACACAGGGCTGCCTGGAGAAGAGAAGTGGAAGCATGTGTGAGTACATCATGGAAAAGCCCAGAGGGGCACACTGTGCGCGCTCTCCTCCATCTGTCCTGAGTCGAGTACTTCAGTCAACAGTGCAAGACCTCGAAGCTTGCTGTCTTAACTCATTTGTTCCCTCTTTCAATAAGTATTTATTGACTACCCACTTTGTGCAAGACAGCACACTAGAATTTGGGAGGTGGAGTGGCACAAAACTTACCAAGACAGGCTTCCTACCCTTGGGGACTTAGTCTTGTAAGACAAATAAAATGTGCATAAGGAATTAAAGTGCCTAGCAGGAAGTGTACTGTGTCCATATAAGCAAAGTCCATAAGGAACTAAGGGGACAGACGACAATTCTGGCTGTAGGGGTCAGATATGGCTGTGTTGGAGTGGTAGTTTTTCAGCTGGACCTTGAAGGATAGGAAGAAGGTGATGGAGTGAGAAAGGCCATTTTAGGCAAAGAAAATTTGTGAGTAAAGGGACAGAATATTGGGAATTGTGGGTGTATATAGAGAATGGTGAATGGTCCAGTTTGGCCCAGATATGTGATGCCTGAGAGGAAGCAGAAGTATATAGATTCAGAAATGTGTGGAACAGTACTTGGCGCCTAAAGGAAGCCCGGTAACGATTCAGTGGGTGGATGGATAGAAGGAAGGGAAGGAGAGTTATGGCAAATTGTAAAGGATTAAAGGGATTAGATTTTATTCTTCAGATTTCTGGGCACTTTTGAGTAATTTTGAGTTAGGAGAAAGTATGGTCATAGCAATTCTTCTGGAAGGTCAACTAGGAAGAGTGTGTAAAGCGAGTAGGGGTGTAGGGAAACCCAGTGCAGGAGCTGTCACTTCAGATCTAATGATGAGGATCTGAACCATGAGTGACAAGAAGAATTCCACAAATGGAATCATTTGGGCTCAGATTCAGTACCTGGATATGGGTAACAAGGAGATAAAGATGTCCAAAGACTGAGTGATTGGGAGACCTCTGGTGCGAGGGACAGAGGTGAGGACTCAAGGAGCACAAATCTAGTTTGGGAGCAGGAGTGGGCAGGAGGCAAACATGGTGTGTCTGGGTAGTGAACACATTGCTAAGAATCCTGACCGAGTACTTCCTGTGTTCGTCACCTCTCTGTGGTAGTTTTACATATATTTTGTTGTCTTGGTTGCCTAGGATCCTCTAGAGAAAGGATCATGTCTCTTAATACTTTCATGGTCCTATTCAGTAGTAAGAGCTATTTACCAATATTCATAAAAGTTAATGAGATGGTTTCATCCTCATTAGCCCCAAAATTAACACACCGATGGCAGAACTTTCAGGTATGAAAAATGCAGGCACAGACCTGTTTGGTGTTGACCAGTTGTTCCGGGTCCTTCCTGCTGCCTGGATGGTGGCCGCATGAGCAGCGTACTGAACAAACTCTTCTCTGGGTTACAGATATCAGTGTGGACCACCCTGATGAGAAGTCTATTATCACTTATGTGGTGACTTATTACCACTACTTCTCTAAGATGAAGGCTTTGGCTGTTGAAGGAAAACGAATTGGAAAGGTGAGCTTTCACCAGTTGTGTAAGTTGTGAGATGCATTTGAGGTTCATTCATGCCTTAATGCACTGCCACTGAGTACTTGGTTCTCCCATGCACTCCAATTTAGCCAGGAGAACTTGTAGCGGGCTCTCCAGCTGGCAGGGAAATAGGCAGAGCTTCATCCCAAGGAGTAAAGGAAGGTAGGGGTGGTGGCTAAAATACTTGGGAAGGGATTTGAGGGGGATCTCAGACCCTGAAACACCCCTCCTTTCAACCCTACCAGCAACTTGGGTATTGAGAATCTGATTGAGTTGGCTAATGTCACAGGCATGAAGTCCTACTCACCACAGATGGAAAGGCCTCAGGATTATGCTTTTTATTTCTCAGGCTGAGGTTCGCCTGCCATATATTTCAAAGCACATCAGACCAGATGCATCATCTTCTTGATGCAATGCAGTGAAAATTCATGGACATTCATGGAACAGGACCAAGCAAAACAAGCCCTTTTTGTTTCTCCAGGAATTTTGGAGCTCAGGCAGTAGGAGTCATTAAGATCAGAATCTTAAACCGTTTGCCTAGGGGTTGGGAGGTTACAGAAGCAATTATAGTTGAATTAAGACTGTCTTTGCTCACAAATAATAGCCACAGCCTGAGTGCCTATTAACAGAGGGTTCCTCAAGTTTAAAATGCTTGTGCCAGAGTAGATAGAAACATTTCACATGCAGTCGTTGTGTGTGCCCACATGGGGTTGCAGTTTCCTTATGTAGGGATACAGTCTTACTTTTCCATTTCTCTGACTCTTGTTTATAGGTGCTTGACAATGCTATTGAAACAGAAAAAATGATAGAAAAGTATGAATCACTTGCCTCTGACCTTCTGGAGTGGATTGAACAAACCATCATTATTTTGAACAATCGCAAATTCGCCAATTCACTGGTTGGGGTTCAACAACAGCTCCAGGCATTCAACACTTACCGCACTGTGGAGAAGCCGCCCAAGTAAGATGCACATTGGAATGTCACCATTAATGTGGGAAGCGATCTTATGGTAGCCACAGACCCCTGGTTTCTGACTTGCTTGATCTTTTCTCTTAATGAATGCCTTTCACCAGCGGCCTGGCTTACTCCTTTTCATCTGAATCCTGGGTCACTGAGCCTTTTAGAAATCGGGCCCTCTGGGAATCCTTTCCAGTAGATTGTGCCCCTGATAGTCATGATACATGAGAATCCTAAGAAATGGTGCAGGTCCCCAGTCCTTTATCCAAAACTCTTAAACCTAATGTGTTTCAGAATCCTTTTTTGAGATTTTTGAAAAGTAGGGTGTATACGTGTGGTGTACTGTAAGACCGCAGGTGGGTCTCAGGCAGTTACAATCAGGCCTGCTAATCTCTGTGTAGCAAAATGTGTGAATATTCACCTTGTGTTAGATATAAACAGACAATAAATAATTTCATATCAGTTCTTACTAGGTTTTACTGCTCAAAAGTTTAATTTCTTGCATCTTTTTTGAATTCCTAATTGTTGAATAAGGATTATGGACCCTATCTCTACTTAACGATGGTTTGAAAGTCATTCCTCCTTTTTCTGGAACTCTACTCAGTTGTGAATTCCTTGCTAAGGTCTCTGAAATGCATTGAAAGTTACATTAGATAGTCATTTGAAATAATTCTTACTGAATGCATTCAAGCCGTCCTCTCTGAATAAAGTAAGTCCATTGTCTGGGACTTAAGGTCTAAACCTTGAATGAGGTGATTAATAAAAGAAAGGTATTATGTGCCCCAAATAGAAATCTCAGTTAACAATAAACAAACACAGAAATACTCCACAGTTTGGCACATTTTGGGGTCTTAATACCCAAAAACTAACCCACTGCAGTTTCTCTTGCATGCATTTCACATAAACCGGACCAGAGATAAATGGCTTTTAAAATTGTATAGCTGTGCCATGTTTTTTTCTCCAGAAGCAAATGAGTTTTTCTCCCTTGAAGGAACAAAATAAAGCAAATAACGTTTATGGCTGGTTTCTTTTCTGTGCTTAGATTTACTGAGAAGGGGAATTTGGAAGTGTTGCTTTTCACTATTCAGAGCAAGATGAGGGCCAACAATCAGAAAGTCTACATGCCCCGGGAAGGGAAGCTTATCTCTGATATTAACAAGGTAAAACCACTTCATTCTGTCCTGTTTGGGTGCTGACCTCCTGTAGGCCTCAGATTCTACTGCTGGGTCTTGTTTGCTAAGCAGGCCAGAGACTGAAAAGAGTTTGTCCTGGCCTGTTTAGTTGGTAATACCCTGACAGCTGTTGCTTGGGGATTACAGAGAGGCAAGCCACGTGTGGTACCTGCATGTGGTGGGCCAGTCTGTGGGAGGTTTGGGGGCGGTGTTAGATTTTGGCAAACAAGCCTTGGGCCTATTTACCTTGTCACTGTTGTCTGAGGTAATTGACTCAGACATCTTAAAACTGCAGAAGAAAGAACTTGAAACCTTATTTCATGTATCTAGAATCTCTAGAGGTTGGGGTTTAGGATTTTGGCTCCTTCCATCAGAGAAACTGTCAGACAATTTATGTTATGTCTGTTATGTCTGTGATTGTAAAATTCCAGAATGAGCATTATTTCCAACTAGAAATTTGAAAAATCTAGAACTGTGGTCAGTTGTACATTTAGTTCTTTTAAGTGGAATTTTTTTAAATGGGAAGTAAGGTATCTTTCATAGAACTAAATTTAATGTGGATAATTGGTGAGGATTCTGAAAAAAATACTCAGGTATGTATATTAAAAACAAGTGGCTATGATGGGATGAATGAGAGGGTTAGGATTTCTTTCTGAGAAAAATCATGTAACGTTGGAGATGATTATTTTTGTTGCCTCCCAAAGCCGGAGATTTATAATTCAGCTATATCGCCCCATATCTACACTGTTTTGTTTTCCAAATACAACATAGGATTTTGAGATGTAGATACAGGAGAATGTTCCCATGAAGTTAGACTGAGAGAAAACTTTTTTCCTCAAGGCTTAAGAGTCAGAGTGAGAACGGGATTTCCCTTTCAAGTTCTTAGGTCTCTTTAAAAAATACAAGCTTTTGACAGTAGCCAAAGGAAAGTTCCTTGAACATTGCAAGCAACTGTTCTTTTTCACTTCTGTAGGCCTGGGAAAGACTGGAAAAAGCGGAACATGAGCGAGAACTGGCTCTGCGGAATGAGCTCATAAGACAGGAGAAACTGGAACAGCTTGCCCGCAGATTTGATCGCAAGGCAGCTATGAGAGAGACTTGGCTGAGTGAAAACCAGCGTCTGGTGTCTCAGGTTGTACTCTAGACCTCATTCAAGAAACTGCTCTGGGGGTAATCTAGAAGTGTAGACTGTACCCAGGGGCCAAAGGGCAGCGACTCATCAACATCCAGTGTTCTGAAGCAACTGCCAAATCATCTTGCCACTTCCTTTGAGGAGGATGTTTATAATTTCTAATATACTTGCTCTTCTGTTTATCTAACTTCTCATAGATTGGAAGCAGTTCAGAGTTTGTTCAGAGCCAGTGAGTGTGTGAACCATTCACATTAATACAATTAAAAAAAAATTCCCTCTGCAATCTTTGACCAGCTAATCCTTTCAGATAGATTGGCCTAAATAAATAAAAGTGGCTTTCTTTTCTACTTGGCTTAAAATAAGCCATCACTTGCTCCAGGCTCATAAGAAGGTGCTTGGTACATGTTGGACCTCCTGTAAAATGAGAACCTATGTGGGGGATCTGAGATCAAGCATGGAGTTTTAAGGGTCCTTGGGAAGGCAGAGACTAGCAGGGGAGGGGGCTCAGGAGTCAGTGTTCGCCTTTGGGACCACCAAAGATTAAGGTGTGCTCAGGAGTCCATCTTTGGAATTCCTTTCTTTGTTCCAGTAGGATGGCTTTTTTATTTTGTGCTTCTTTTCATTCCATTTCTCTGTAGGACAACTTTGGATTTGACCTTCCAGCAGTTGAGGCTGCCACTAAAAAACACGAGGCCATTGAGACAGACATTGCTGCATATGAGGAACGTGTGCAAGCTGTGGTAGCCGTGGCCAGGGAGCTGGAGGCAGAGAACTACCACGACATCAAGCGTATCACAGCAAGGAAAGACAATGTCATCCGGCTCTGGGAATACCTTCTGGAACTGCTCAGGGCCCGCAGGCAGCGCCTCGAGATGAACCTGGGGCTGCAGAAGATATTCCAGGAAATGCTCTACATTATGGACTGGATGGATGAAATGAAGGTAACACTCAACTGAAAGGAGGCCAGAGCTCATCCAGTGAGGCTTCTCTTTTCTGGGACCTACCTACTAACCCCCCAACATACAGCTATTCCCTTTGTCTAATGGCACACTCTTTGAAGCCGGAGTAGGGCCACATTACCCATGGGAAGATTGTTAGCTCGCAGGTTAAAATGAGGTGTGAGGTGTGAAAAAGTTGAGAGACCAGTTTCATAGCTAGAGTTCTAAAATGGTGATTTAGGTCTAATTTAGATTTATATTCCACTGTAAGAACTCAACCAAATTGTACTTGTCTGTGCTTCTAATTCTTTAGCATTGAACTGGCTTTCCGTCTCATTGACCTGCATGTGAGTGGCTCTAGTCTGGGGAGGGGACCCAGGCAGGTGGTGTGGGTATGTGGGAGAGCGGTACAGAGCACAGGCCCACAGCCCAGTAACTAGAGTTGAGGCTCTCCTTGAGCCTCCTGCCTTGCCCATAAGTGGAGAGCACACTTACTGCCCACCGCACCAGGTTGTCGTGAGAGTGTGTGGTAGTAGGCATACATATCATAGGAAGGGCTGTTGGGCTGCAACTGCCACTGCCAGTTTGTGCTTGCACTTTCATGCTGACAGCATGAACACAGAGTTCCAAGCTTTCCCCCCACCCAGAAAGACCTGCTGTTATGGCAGATCCCTGTGCCCTGTTGTGTCCCTCTGATGCAAACCATGGAAAGCTCACTCATGCCAAGCAGGTTGCCAACTGGAGGGCATTCAGCCTCATAGCTGGAACAGAAGAGGGCAGTTTTCAGACAGTACTGTGAAGCCTCTTTTATCTCAGCACACTGTGTTCCCAAGCTCAACCTTATTATTATGCAAGGGATTTCTTCGTGGGATATAAGCCCTTGTCTTTCATTAACCTCTTGAACTGTACTCAACAGGGGCAAGGTTACCAGATACTATCAGTTTTCCCTCTTATCATCCCAGATTTATTTTGTTCTCAGAAACCGTCTGCGTTGACCTCAAAATGGCAATTTTTATGGAAATCTAGCTGAGAGGTGCTTTACTTTACATTTTATAGATGACAGTACACATTATAATTTAGATTGGGCCAGAAATCTCAGAACTAGAGAGTGAAGTAAGAATTCCATCTGGCAAGGATGTGGGATGCCACCCCCAGACTGTGCTGATGGAAGAAACTAGAGAAAATGTTAATGGGTCAGACTTAAACCTGAGAACTTGCTCTGACCTACTAAACGTGTTAGCCACATGACCCTGTTCTTCTTTGGTTAAAGATTTGGTCTGTAATGTAAGCTTTTCAACTAAATTTTCCTCCCTTTGATTGTACAAAGGTCCCAGAAACGTACCAAAAAGCTCTTAACTGAGGAATAAAGCACTCCTACAGCACCCTGTAGATTTCTTTAAACTTTGGTGTGAAATAACTGTCACTTTATCTCATCTTCCTGGATTTGTTCTTGGACCCCCAGTTTATATTTCATATTGGTTCCATTTCACCTTTTTTTTCCCCCTCTCTCTTCTGTACTTCTTAGTATATTTTTGACTGACTTTTATTCCAAGGTAGATCATCTTTAGTTTATTATGTCTCTTCTGATGCAGGCTTTCAGATTTGTTTTGTTTTGTTCTGATTGCTCATCACTGTCTTCCCATAAAGATGCTGGGAGGAGAGTGTGCCCAGCATGCTTGCTGGGTCACAGCTCGTCCAAGACCATGAGATGCTGAGGCCAGTGTTGTTTTCACATGTGTCCTTTCTTGTTCCCTCTTGTGCATAGGTGCTGTTACTGTCTCAGGACTATGGCAAGCACTTGCTCGGTGTGGAAGACCTGTTACAGAAGCATGCCTTGGTTGAAGCGGACATTGGCATCCAGGCAGAGCGGGTGAGAGGTGTCAATGCCTCCGCCCAGAAGTTTGCAACAGATGGGGAAGGTAAGGATTGCCTTTCCCATAACTTACCTCCTAGTCACCAGAGAGCCATCTTTATAGAAGCAGATAAGTTGTGTGTGGCAATGGGGAACTTCTGAAATTACTGTGCCCTTGTAGTTTCCCAGGAAATCTGTCTGCTGTCTTGTATTGGGTACATGAGATGCAGTGGGGTGGCCTTCTGAGCCCTGTAACTGTCTTGCTTTTCTGAAATGTCTTTTCCTTAAATACCTAAGCACTGCTTGGTTTTGAATGACTTGATGTCTGGCAGTGAGACTGCCAGACCACACCTGATGCATACCAGCCAGCTACCTGGTATGGCAGCTCAAGCATCTTACGGCTGTCACACCTGGTTGTACGTATCTTTGTTTAAAAATGTTTGAAGGATTTGGTTTCATTTTTATTTCTTAACTTTTAGAAACAGTTAAATTCAGCTCTTCTTTTGTAGGATTTGTGTGCTTTTTTTGGTTCTTAAGTGATCAGTTTGCACTTGGGGCAGAAAATTACACTTACCATTGCTCCTCCCTCCTCTTCCAGTCAGGATCCTGGAAGGTGCTCCAGTGCTTTCTAATATGGCCCTGCACTTAGAACTGAGCTGGTAATCTAGTAAGGAAATGGGGTATAGCTTACTGCCTGCAAATGAACAGAAATGTTTATTAAACTCTTCCACACACCTTCTTTGGCATTAAACAGGTTACAAGCCCTGTGACCCCCAGGTGATCCGAGACCGTGTGGCCCACATGGAATTCTGTTATCAAGAGCTTTGCCAGCTGGCGGCTGAGCGCCGGGCCCGTCTAGAAGAGTCCCGTCGCCTCTGGAAGTTCTTCTGGGAGATGGCAGAAGAGGAAGGCTGGATCCGGGAAAAGGAAAAGATCCTGTCCTCCGACGATTATGGGAAAGACCTGACCAGTGTCATGCGCCTGCTCAGCAAGCACCGGGCGTTCGAGGACGAGATGAGTGGCCGCAGCAGCCACTTTGAGCAGGCCATCAAAGAAGGCGAAGACATGATCACAGAGGAGCACTTTGGGTCAGAGAAGATTCGAGAGAGGATCATTTACATCCGGGAGCAATGGGCCAACCTGGGGCACCTCTCAGCCATTCGGAAGAAGCGCCTGGAGGAGGCCTTGCTGCTGCACCAGTTCCAGGCAGATGCTGATGACATCGATGCTTGGATGCTGGACATCCTCAAGATCGTCTCCAGCAATGATGTGGGCCATGACGAGTACTCCACACAGTCTCTGGTCAAGAAACACAAGGATGTGGCAGAGGAGATTGCCAACTACAGGCCCACCATTGACACACTGCACGAGCAAGCCAGCGCCCTCCCCCAGGAGCATGCAGAGTCTCCGGATGTGAGGGGCAGGCTGTCGGGCATCGAGGAGCGGTACAAGGAGGTGGCAGAGCTGACGCGGCTAAGGAAGCAGGCGCTTCAAGACACTCTGGCCCTGTACAAGATGTTCAGTGAGGCTGATGCCTGTGAGCTCTGGATAGATGAGAAGGAGCAGTGGCTTAACAACATGCAGATCCCAGAGAAGCTGGAAGACTTGGAGGTCATCCAGCACAGGTGAGTTAGAGGTGTCGTGGGCAGGGTAGCAGGGACACCAGCCCACCCCACCCCTTGTTACCACCAGTAGCCAAGGAGGTGACTGCCCTGTTTTGAATTGCCTTTTCAGATTTGAGAGCCTAGAGCCAGAAATGAACAACCAGGCCTCCCGGGTTGCAGTGGTGAACCAGATTGCACGGCAGCTGATGCACAGCGGCCACCCGAGTGAGAAGGAAATCAAAGCCCAACAGGACAAACTGAACACGAGGTGAGTGTGAGGCCAGCGGTGTGCTGGCTCCCTGTGTGCAAGGCCAGGGAAGGCGAGGTCACTTGCTGAGCCTTGCTGTCAGGAATCTCCTGCCCAGGGTCACTGGCATCGTGGTAGTGATGTCATGGCATTGGCATCTGCCTTTCAACATCCCCTAGTTTTGCAAGAAGCATCCTTTGGGGTGATGTTATTCCTGACAGCCTGGCCCCTGCTCCTCCGCACATGAGAACTAAGGGCCTTGGTGAGACCTGTGTCCAGCATAGTGGATCATAGCATCAAGGTGGTGCCTGTACAGTCCCTTTTAAGATGATTTCTGAAACAGGATTTTACATGTTTGAGATGTAATTGGCCAATGAAGGTCCTGATTGTCAAAGTAGACCTTTGTCCCGGCTTATCTTTCTGTTGAATAAACACATTTGAATGTGGCGGCAAAATGGCCTCTGTTCTCATGGTTACTATCAGGAATTGGCTTTGGAAAGTCTTCACCGGGTACAGTTCAGAAATGAGCAGAATGTGTATGGCAGATGTAAACCAATTGACTCTTCAGAGGACAGGTTGTTGTCTGTGCTTATTTATGTTAGAGCTGTTAAACAAGTCCCTCTTCATGTCAGGCTTCTTCCAAATTAAATTGCTGTTTCTATGGTATTTCTATTACATATGTGATACAAGAACAGTTATGATATTAACCATTCCTGTGATATCAGGTATTAAATGAGATGATTTTCCAAAAAGCATGTAATCAAAGCAAAGATGGAGGAAAAAACCCTGCAGCTTTGATCATCCCCAGTAACTTCATTATCCAGCTGTGAGCTTTCAGCCCTTTTTCACACTGCTGTCTCTGTGTCCCACCCCTGGCCCTCCCAGGTGGAGTCAGTTCAGAGAACTGGTCGACAGGAAGAAGGACGCTCTTCTCTCTGCCTTGAGCATACAGAACTACCACCTCGAGTGCAATGAAACCAAATCCTGGATTCGGGAAAAGACCAAGGTTATCGAATCCACCCAGGACCTGGGCAACGACCTGGCCGGCGTCATGGCCCTGCAGCGTAAGCTGACCGGCATGGAACGGGACTTGGTGGCCATCGAGGCGAAGCTGAGCGACCTGCAGAAGGAGGCAGAGAAGCTTGAGTCTGAGCACCCCGACCAGGCTCAGGCCATCCTGTCTCGGCTGGCCGAGATCAGCGACGTGTGGGAGGAGATGAAGACCACCCTGAAAAACCGAGAAGCTTCCCTGGGGGAGGCCAGCAAGCTGCAGCAGTTTCTGCGGGACCTGGACGACTTCCAGTCCTGGCTCTCCAGGACCCAGACGGCCATCGCCTCTGAAGACATGCCCAACACGCTGACCGAGGCAGAGAAGCTTCTCACACAGCACGAGAACATCAAAAATGAGATCGACAACTACGAGGAGGACTACCAGAAGATGAGGGACATGGGCGAGATGGTCACCCAGGGGCAGACTGACGCCCAGTACATGTTTCTGCGGCAGCGGCTGCAGGCCTTGGACACTGGATGGAACGAGCTCCACAAGATGTGGGAGAACAGGCAGAATCTCCTCTCCCAGTCCCACGCCTACCAGCAGTTCCTCAGGGACACGAAGCAGGCTGAAGCCTTCCTCAACAACCAGGTACTGTTCCCTGTTGCCTCTGCTTCCTTCCTGTCAGGCAGGCCCTGGAGCCCTTCTGAGACAGTTTGGCCAGGGCTGGTTGTTTAAACACACCTGTATGAAATTAAAAGGGTGATTTAGAGACATTTTTCCCCTGACTTCTAAGGTGTTGGGACCCCGCACAATGTAGAGGACAGGCATTAAAGAGTCCACAGGAGCTGTCTTGCCTTGCAAAGTACAGTTCTCTTTCAGCTCCTGAGGGTCTGTCCTTCGTCATATGTCCTCATAGTATCACATTGAATTGGCAACATTCTGTGAGGTACTAATCCAATTTAAAAGGACAGTGAAGATTTTTTTTTTTTACTGAATGACTGTATTCCTAGCTCTAGAGAAGCCAGGGACTTCACCTGATGACACAAGGCAGAGATTAGAGAAAGAAAAACAGTTGAGGGTGGTGGCCCACATGAGGGTGGTTAATCTTTCTCAAAGAGTTGAAGGGCATGTCACTGTTAACTTGGAAGGCAGGAGAGGACCTTTGTGGCTAATGGACAAAGCCTTACTTTCCTCATTCATTTTGGGAAGAAATGTAGAGCATTTAACCACTCTAACGGGGAAGGTTAGTCACTTACGGTGTCCCACTGGGTTTTATCCCTGCCAATTTTTTTAAAAATCTGATTCAATAGATTATTTCATGTAAATGTAATGAAGCAAGTATTGTGAAGTATGTTGCATAGAAATGGAGGGCACAAGAACGATTGCTTTTGTTATTCTGAAAGTGAGTCCTATTTCATAATATCTCTACTTCTGTGCTTGTTTTTTTTCCCTCTCTGTCTCTTTTTAAATAAGGAGTATGTTTTGGCCCATACTGAAATGCCTACCACATTGGAAGGAGCTGAAGCAGCTATTAAAAAACAGGAGGACTTCATGACTACCATGGATGCCAATGAGGAGAAAATCAATGCTGTTGTGGAGACTGGCCGGAGGCTGGTGAGCGATGGAAACATCAATTCAGATCGCATCCAGGAGAAGGTGGACTCTATTGATGACAGGTACAGTGATCTGAAGCGAGTCTTGCTCCTGCGGCTCAATCATCACATTGGCCAAAGTCCTTGGGGCTTTGGGTGTCAATTTCCTCTTGAGCAGGGTAGGGGCATCTAGCAAAATTTAATCTACCTATTGCAGAAAATCACTGAGCAGTGAGCCCATGTCTGCCTGAGAAAGTGGTTCAGGTTAGATGTGTCCACAAAAGAAAAGGGAGCCTGAGAAGCTGAGCCAGCCAGTACTTAACCAAAGGCTTAGTAAGAGCCATAATGCTGAGTAGCAGTCAGGTGTAAGCCGTGCCCTGCAAGAGCTGAAACACAGCATGTCACCCAATGGGACTCTGAGAGCCACATGCTTCCCCAGCCAAGCCCACGTTTGCCTTCATCCACCCACACAAGACTCCTCTGAAGCCTTTGGGGAAGGAGTGGGGAGAAGGAGGGAAGATTTGCTTGTCTTGAGTACGTGGCAGAGCCACAAAGAAACCCTATCAAGCTGTTTGTGAAAATTGGCTTAGATAATACTGTAATAGGGGTTTTTTCATGATGAGAGGAAAGATGCTTCTTCCTCTTCTGTCAGGGCATCTCTTAGATGCTCTTGTTTTTTTTGTTTGTTGTTGTTTTTAATTTATTTGCTGTTTCTGAAAAATTTTTCTCCCTGAATGAAGGCCAGTGTACTCTGACCTTCACCCCTAATTCTCTCCCTGCCTTAGTTATTACTAAAGTGGGAGGTCAAGGTAGGCCTAGATCTGACTACTCCAGCACGGGCTGGTTCCCGGCCGGCCACTTCCTCACCGGTAGGCCCATCTGGGTCAGTCACTAGCGTCTGTTCCCGCTGACCTTTGTCGGTCCCAGTGTGGGCTGGATAAGGGCTCTTTGTGAGGCTGATGTCATTGAAAAACAAGCTCCTCCTAGAGTGAAGAGGAAGAAATTACTGAGAGCATTTCTTAACATAGCCAAGAGGGTCTCCTGGGACCCTGGCCCAGATTAACTTTTAATGATATGGGAAGGAAAGGGGAATTACTCTTTCCTTCTAAAGGTTGAGCTCCTGGCCTTAGTACTTGGGGTTCGTCTTTTGCCCTGATTCAGAGCCTAAGTCTGTATATTCTAAGGGTGGTATACTGTGGAATAGTGTGTACCATATATTAATTATAATTTTGTGTCTGTTGCTTTTAAAGCAGCTGTAAAAAAGGTAAAAAAGATTCTGCCACCAAACCTTTCTTAAGTGAGTATGAAAAACAAGTATTGGGCAAGCCATTTTTAACCTAGAGAAAAAGAATTTCCCTTTTTCCTAGTGTTAATTAAGTCTCATTATTTTGTAAATATGATCCCTCATGTCCATCTGTGTTAGATGTACACAGCTGTTTCCTGCAGGCAAGCTTGGCCGTTAGCGACACATGTGTTCAGGCTGGCATGCAGCTGCCTGGCAGCCTCCTCAGTGTATTTACACATGCCTGGTGCTACAGCTGCAAGCAGTTGTTGGCAGCAGGTGACACTGTCCAGAGGAGAGACTCCTGCAGATGAGAGAACATTTAAGCAGCCTCTCAGTTGTGGTTTGACCTTCTTTTTGTCCTTGACTGAGAGCCTGGGCTCCTGGAGTTCCAAAGCATTCTTAGGATTTCTGTTTTAAAAAAGAAATGGAAAGAGGATCCTGTGTTTCTCCATTTTGCAAAAGGAGGATGGAAGTGGGAGAGGGCTTTCCATTGTTCTGCACCCCTGAGGACTGTTTTCTTCTTTTCCTCCACTGGTATTAACTGAATTCTGGTTTCACTTTAATACCCCCAGTGGTCTCAGAGTTTGAAACAGACCCTAGAGGATATTTGTCTATTATAAAAATATACAAATCTGTGAGTTCCAGGTGCTGTAGGAGGAGCACAATCTAGGAAAACATCTAACCTTCAGATCTAATCCCCCGTCCAGAAACATAGTGATGCTCTTGTGCAGCTGTTTCCATAGACTGCAAAAATCACCGTTCATAGTGTGCTTGTGTTCTGGAAGTCTTGTCTATTGCTACCGAGTTTATTGAAATGAAAAAGTACTAGAACAAAGACACTGACTCTTAACAGATGCGTGGATGGGTCACGAGCAGCCTTTAAAGTGCTTCTGACTGGGTGAGAAGGAGCCTGCCTGGCCCAGGGGTGTGAACCGTGAGCTTCTTGACTCAGAGCAAAACGCCAGCCACAGCACAGTCCTGGGAGAACTAGGAACGGTATCCAGCTTTATAAAGCCAGAACCTATCTCATGGGGTAAAAAGCTGAAAAACAACCAGCCCTTTTTATTCCAGCCCCTGCCGTTCTTTTCATAAGAATCAGAATTAAACCAGCATCTGCCTCATATGACAAGGGAGCTTTTCAGTTTTATTATGGGGATAAGAGGTGGGAGATGGAAGTAAAAAGCAAGGGATTTGACCTTGTCCCAAACTAAGAGCACTCTCTAGGACTAAGGAAAACTATGGCCACGTTTAGAAAGTCCTTCCCTATAATTAAATCCACGGTTCAGCCTTGAAAGACCTTCCCAGGTTTCACTTCCCGTGAACACTGTCAGTTACCACTAATAAACAGTTAGGCCACACTCACTTCTCTCGAGGGTTTTCTGAGTCAGCAACAGGCTCCGCCGCCTGCCCAGCTGTTCCTCACCCCGCAGAGCGAGCACATCACTCGCAGGCCCGCTCTGAGGTCTTTGGCATTTGGACGTGAGGCCCTGAGTCACGGTTCGGCCATCCCTGGCTCTCATGGTCCCACTGTAAGAATGATAGCCTGGGCGGGAATCCTGGGCATGTGTGAGAGTTGTGTCGGGGAAACGTTCAGATGTGTGTCCAGTGGTGTATTTCTCTTGGTGAAGCTTCTCAGTGTTTGAAGTTATTTTTATTTCCATTATTTCATGAGCTTCAGAGATGCACGTCCTGTGATAGCTGCCCGTGTCTGTGGTTCTCCTTGGCATTGTAGCCCTTCCTTGTGACACTGCGGTAGGGATTGCTGTCTTTATTCAAGGCCTTTGGGATCACAGGCCGGACTCTGGCATTTTGTGACTAACAGCAACTCACTCAGATTACCTTCCTTCTGAAGATTTGCTTTATTTTCTTAAAATCCCCTACAAAATGATCATTGGAATTTGATCTCTGAGAAAGGATAACAGTGAAGTAAAGGGGCTTTGGCCTTTATTTTTTGTTATTTTAAGAGCAATAGAATGTTAAAAATTGGTCTGAAAATTCTACATACCATTTAAATTTTTGCTTTCTAATCATTGCCTTGGAGTTTTCTATCACTGAATATGCCTAAAAGCTTTTCATTTAGCATAAGATGTATTTTTCTATTTTTGCATCTTGCCTAAGAGGTATAAACATATTAAGATCCCTTTTCCTAAAGTTATAGAAGTCCTTTAAAGTTCAAAAGTCATCTGTGTCCAGTGGATGGAGGTGTTATTTCTGTCCATGTTATTCCTGTTGTTCTGCAGTCAGTCTGTGTCACTCTCAGAGCAGAGGCCATCTGCCTCCGGTTTCTGAGCAGACAATAGCTGCCCACTTGTTCCAAGCAGGCACTGAGGGCCCGTGTAATGCGTGGCTTCCCTGTACGATACAGCTCCCCTCATTGCAGTGGAAACACAGAAAGGCCGTCCTTTTCCTGGCACTCCGGTGTCCATGCAGCTGTTCTTCTCAGCCTCAGGGGAGAGCCCAAGCTAGTGCGTGCGGGAAGATGGGCCGGGAGTGCTGGCCCCTCCATGGTGGTGTGAGGAAGCCCTGAGTAGAGTGTTGGAACTGGGAGTAGGTGCTCGCTGCTCACCAAGTTCAGCAGCTCCTTCCAGTCCTTACAAGTGTTTTGTTGAAGGTTTTGTGCTTTAACTTCTTGGAACCTTAATTACCCTTATTTATTAATAAAGAGTGGGATTGAGTAGTAGACAATTTCAGATCTCAGTTTTCATTCCTGGTTTTTTGTTTGTGGTGAGTTTTTCCCAAGATGGGAATGTGTTTATCAGGAAATGTTAATTTAAAATCAGTTTTAGGATTATATATATTTTCTTGGCCAGGTACATACATGTCCTGTCACCTAGGTTTGAGTTTCTTGAAGATAAGTTTCAAGTTCTTGCGCAATGTCTAAAACGGGGATTTCACAGCGCATGTGCAGATTTTTTTTTTCCTTAACTCCAGATTAGAAAGCCCTGAATTGACACAGCTCATCTGACTGCATCCTTGGCCTGTCATGTGGCTTAGGGCAGGTGTTTTTGTCTCTTTTGTACCATCGAATGCTCACTTGGAGGATGCTAAACTCCTGTTTATCCTGCCTTCTTGACATGATTGAGAACTGTATGCAAACTGTTTTCAGCATATATAGAAATCCAGGAGAGAAGTTGAATTGTAAATTCCATATTTCAAGATTCTCTTCCCTTTTTAAAAATTCTTTTCATTATTGTTACAACAGACATAGGAAGAATCGTGAGGCGGCCAGTGAGCTTCTGATGAGATTGAAGGATAACAGGGATCTTCAGAAATTCCTGCAAGATTGTCAGGAGGTATGTCTCCCTTTGACCCCTCCCTTCCTCATTTCTAACAAGAGCCAGCAAGCATTTGGCAGAAGAGCCCTTAGAACTGTAAAATTAATTGAGGGCAGAAATTCAGATCACCTGTGTAATTTGCAGGTGGGACAGTATGGCACCTTGTCAGTTCTGCTGCTTATAAGTTACCACTTAAAGTAACTAGATTAATCTAGGATATTATAGTCTAGAATTATCTGGTGCTGTCCATTAACGGGCTATTTCATTTTAAAGAAAGAGTGTCATTCCTCCATTGCAGTAGTTGTGTTTAAGTACTTGGTAGCCAACTGTGATTAGTGGCTGCCGTGTTGGACAGTGCAGGTGTTGAACATGGCCTATACTATAACCTGAAAACATTAAATATAATGTTTTAACTATGTAATATACATTTAATGGTGTGGAAGGAAAGAACTAAGAGGAAATCACCCAGGTAAGAAGCAAAAATTTAAAAATACAAACTGAGTTTCTTACTCACTAAATACCTTGAAATACGCATCCTTCTGGCTCTTTAAATTGTGTCTAATATGCCAAGAGCAGTAATCCTGATTTCAAACTCTAAGTTTTAACATGTGGTATTAATCTGATGCTTCTCATACTATTTCATGCTCCCCTGATACATGGATAAACAAACTTGGAAAACTAAAGTTAGCTGGAAAAATGCAGTCTTTCGTCAAGCTAGTTGGAGAAAAACATCTAGCTGATCTCACAGGTGTGAGTTCCTGAGCACATTGTATTTTTCTATCTGCCAGAGAATAGTGGTAAGACTCAGGACTCTGTTTTTTTTTTAGTGTAATCCCCTCAGAGGCAAAATGGGATGAAGAATACAGGAGTGAAGCTGCAGGGACCTTGTGGGGGAGGGAAGTCAGAGGGTGTAGGAATAGGATGAGGTTGTGTGCTAAGAATATGGCTGAAGTCATCACAAGCACCTTGCATGTAAACATGTGGCTGTGTGTTAAAGATATATAGCTCTAATAGTGGTCATGTCAGATAATCTGTGACAGAAGCAATTCTTCATGTCCATCAAACTGCTGTCTTACTGTGAATCTTGCAGTATGATCTAGCAGCTAAACCTTAAGAAGGAAAGCCCCTAAACTATGTAGCTTAGTGTCTGTTGGCTTTCAGCGCCACTTTGATGAATCTAGGTCTCTGGGTGATTTGCCTGGAGCCAGATAGGCTGAAAACAGGAGTGCCTCTTCAAGTGACACTAGCATTAATCACTCATTTGAATAGGATGCTCATTTAAAGAGGCATGCATGTCCCCAGACAGGGCATAGAGGAGAGCAATGGGATCTAAAGTTAACTGTGTAGAGCTGCATGTGTTGCTGTGGTGAATACCAAGTGGCCCTTAATCATTGGAGGGAGTAAAGGGGATCTAGGGATGTTTATAACCAGGGCGATAGCTTCCACAGATTGGAGGTCCCAGTATTACCTTTATGTTTCCCTTGAAGCACCATCAGTGACTTGTTTTTAGCCATACTGGGTGTAGAAAAGAGCAATGGGATTCCATACTCTTGCTTAAAAGGCAAGTGAATAAAATGAAATTCATTGACCTGAGCATGGTGAAACCTGGTTAAATTTGAGGGGAGAAAATGACAGGAAATATGCAGGAGGTGAGGGGATAAGAGGAATCTTTGAAACAAGCCCAGCTGAAATGTCCAGCCTCCTGCTTCTGATTTATATATGTGTGGATTCATAAATAGAAAAGTATGGGAGAACTAAGTAGACAAAATGATAATTCTTCCCAAAGGAATCACAGGAAGTCATTTTAGTAAGTCTTCAGATCTCTGTCCGCACTTGGTCGAGATTACCATCCTGGGTTACAAGGATTTCACTCGTCACCACACACCAGCGACTGTTGTGCAGTTTCCCCTCAGAGCATGCAGGAAGGCTTTTGGATGGGCTTTTGTGTCTTGGAGATGATTTGCAGGTGTCCTTGTAACTGCTTCTCCAAGCCTGCCTCCCTGGCTTTATCCTTCTTTCCTTGAACCTCATTAAAAGTTAATACAAGGATAGTATCTTTGGGGAGGGGGGATGGTACTGGATGACCCACATCAGTGTAATACAGTTTATACATAGTGACCAAATTTAGGTCAGGTTTGGGGCCTCCAAAACCCTTGATGTCAAAGTACAAGCAGAGGGGTGATGTATGGAGCATTCTTTGGCTATAAACTTTCCGTCATTCAGTCTCATTAAAATCTGTCCCTTTTAAGCCAAAATCTCTTGAGAGTGGAGTTTGTTTATGGACCAGGCCTACATTTAAAAATCTACCTGTTAACTCAGAGCATGCTGAGGTCAGATTTAATACCAGTGCTGGCTGTTAGTATTGTTCAGGATCTAAGGAGCCCAGGTTTTTTCTTTGTCAGGCTCCCTTCCTCTGGTGCCTTGGCCAGAGGAGGCATGGGTTGTGAAAGCTGTTGTCACTGCCACCCCCCATACACTGCCTGGATGGGGAAATTAATTGCTGCAGGAATACAGTGGGAATGAGCAGAGTCCCACTTATTCCTGGTTACAGATAGGGATACAAAGAGCATTATAGCATTTGTAGTGTTCTGTAATTTTGAGGTCCTGAAAAATGAATGATTTTAAAGAGTACTGATTTTGTTTTATTCCCTCACACTATATAACTCCTGTTTTCTGAAACCGATTTTTTTTTTCTGGAGGGCAATGTAACTAGCTGTGTGTTTTGCAGGGTTAGTGAGTTTAGTGCTTTGCTTTGAGCTTAATTCAGTGATCAAAGCATTTTCCCTATCCTTTCCAATCTGTGCAGTGTTCTTTTCTTCCAAGAATGAATATATTCTTATATGACCTTTGTAAATGCCCACAGATAATAACTGTAGTTTGAATTCCAGAATGCTAATGAAGCGCTGATCAACTAGCGAGTTCTGTAGATCCATTTCATTGTGTTGTATTGGATAATGCTTTATCTGTAGGATGATGTGTTCAGCAAAGAGCATATTTGTTTATAAGCCTCTTGATTTTTATGTAGTTTTTTAAAAATCTCTCTTGGGTATGTGGTTATAAATAGCAAAAATATGTGAATGTCCTTTGCACTTCGGATAAATGCCTTTTATTGTGCTTAATCTGTGTGTGTGTGTAACACAGGGGAACTTTTTTTTTTTTACCATTTGGTTTCCTTTTAACTTCTTTTACCCTTCGAATGAATGGCCATAGTATTTCAGATTTTAGCTACTCAGATAACTAGAAAATAGGTAATTCTTTTAAAGTAGGAAATTAGTGTCTCTGCTATTGTGTAAAAAAAAAAAAGATTTTTTTCTTTTTGCTTACAAAGTGGTTTATGAGACTTACTGGATTTCCCCTCAATAAAGAATGACATCAGAGATCTCTCTAACTTTTGCTTTCAAACCTCTGTCTCCTTGTGTGGTGGGTGAATATCCTGAAAAAAGTAGAGATGGTGCCTGGGAGTTCAGCCACATTCAGATCCAGGGGTGCTCCTGTGACCTGTATCACCCTCCTAGACATCATTTCCAAAGAACAGACTTTCTATTGTTGAAGCAAATTTATGGAGAAGCCTTTCCCAGTAGCAACTGAAGAATGCAAGTATGGCTTGGAAATGTTGATTCCGTAAAGGTTGATTCTATTGTTTTGATGCACCATTTCTAAACTTTTGGAGATGGGACTGTGAAAGGGGTTTAAGGTGCAAATTTATTGTGGCAACACCTGGTGTAAAAGGGTGCTTGTGGTGGTCACACAGGAGAAGGAACACAGTCTAAGACATCTGCTTCTATTCTGGGCTGAGCCTGCATTCCATTGTGTGTGTTCCGCCTGGGCAGGCACAGAGCTCTGCCTGGGTTAGTGCTGTGTGTAGGCTAGGAATGAGGACCCCACCCGGGCCAACTACAGGCAGGCAGTAAGGAGCCGGGCAAACGGGGGTGAAATCCAGCAAGAGTGGGGTATCCAGGGCCAGAGCCTCATGCAAGAACTCCTTCTGCCAGGCTGTCAGCCTCTGGCAGGCTTTGCAAGGCTTTCCAGAGTTCAGATCCAAGTAGACTGTGAAGTGTTCTTGGTCTGCATGGAAGACTGGTTAGAGTAATAGAGGCTATAGAAAAAAAGGTGTAGGTGTCTCAAGTTTGAAGGAAACATTGAGAGGGCATCAGTTTTGCCTTAACTATACAGTGAGCAAGTTACTTACGCCTTTTTGCATTCTTGGAGCAGGAGATAGAACAGCTGAGTTTGCAGGTTTTTTAAATAATAGAAAGGACTGAAAGGGTAAAAATATTACAGAATAGAGTAAAAGACAGTCTTGATCAACATGGTATTGCTGGCTTAAGTATTTGGAATAGAAAGAAGGTTGTGACTTGGACCGGTTAGGGCAGAATTTTAAACACATGACTTTTGGGGGAAAAGCTGGTTATGGGGGCCCAACAGTTCGAAAGCTGGCTCAGAGAGCTTTTGTACTTCTGGATTTAATGTTAAATGCACAGTTTGAAATAAGGCTCAGGTACAGCCTCCTTGCAGTGGAGATACCTGTCAGACGGGTCAGAATTGTAAAGTAAATATTTGGTTGTCTGTTGACATGGAAACCTGTGCAGTGTGCATAATACGACATAGCACAATTCTTTCCCAGCAGCAAAAAAGGCTGACATCTGTGATCACAATCTCTGAAACCATCCTGATTTTTGTTTCCCTAGCTGTCTCTCTGGATCAATGAAAAGATGCTTACTGCCCAGGACATGTCTTACGACGAAGCCAGAAATCTGCACAGTAAATGGTTAAAACATCAGGCATTTATGGCAGAACTAGCATCTAACAAAGAATGGCTTGACAAAATTGAGAAGGTGAGCCAAAATGTTTAATGAGGCCAGCATTTCTGAGGTGTGGAAGTGAACTGGGTAGAAATGACTCTTACTTGTATAGCATATTTCTCCCTTGTGTTTGAGTCAAATCTGATCACATACAGAAGTCACACAGCTGGTAGCAATCCCCTTCCACTTACAGTTCCTGACCTCACCCAGCAGGAAGGAGTCAAGCAGAAACCCAACCAGATGATACAAATCGCTTGATTTGTCTTTTAATGAATACTAGGTGTTTGGTTTCTCTTGTGTATCTCACCTTTTGTAGATGATGGACAGTGAGACCCGTGGACAGAGTCCCCACTATTGATCCTGTTATGTGTGTGACCATGACAGAGACTGATCAGATCCAGTTTGCACAGAACTTAGAAGTAGTATATGTTTTAAGTTTTCTCAGTTTTTCTCATATGACTACTGTATACTAGGTACTATAATAATTTAAGATGTGCTATTTTGGCACAGGGAGATTCTGTGCAGCATTACTGAACATGGATGTCAATCCTCTTTCTTCCTCACACTTTTAACATTATTTCAGTCTATTAACAGTTAAAATAACATGTTACGGTCTTTTGGGGGTAGAGTGGAGGGCATGAAGTATTAGGATAGTAGCATTAAATGTCTCAGTGCTCCAGTAGAAACTATTTCAGTGTACAGCAGGCACTTCCTGCTTGACTCCCATGAAAGCCAAAAAGTATGTGTAGACAAGGCTGTTGTCTATTTTATTAAGCAGTAACTTCATGTGGAAGACTGTGTGTGTGTGTGTAATGAGTGGGTAAGTCTCAGATAGAGTATCCTAGGTTTGTTTTTCACAGTAATGTTTGTTCTCTAGCAAATGACGCTATGTTTTCCAGGAAGGAATGCAGCTCATTTCAGAAAAGCCCGAGACAGAAGCTGTGGTGAAGGAGAAACTCACTGGTTTACATAAAATGTGGGAAGTCCTTGAATCTACCACCCAGACCAAGGCCCAGCGGCTCTTTGATGCAAACAAGGCTGAACTTTTCACGCAGAGCTGTGCAGATCTGGACAAATGGCTGCACGGACTGGAGAGTCAGATTCAGTCTGATGACTATGGGAAAGACCTGACCAGCGTCAACATCCTGCTGAAAAAGCAACAGGCAAGTGGGCGAGACGGCCACGTTTTTTGAGCTCTTCCTGTTTTATTGTCATAGTCTTTATGGTCCCCTCAGCCACTGTGTTCTCAGCCTTCCCATCTTACGTGTTGAAATTTGAACCCAGCAGAGTGTCCAGCATTTTCAGAACCGACTGGAAACACACAGTATTAGTAGAAGATTGTGTGTCTGGGCATGGGAATGGTTTTTTATTATTGTCATAATAAAATTGATGGATAGTATCACCATTTAACAGCTGACGAGATATTCATTCAGTTCCACAATTTCCATAAAGGAAAATAATTGTGTTTGCATACTCTGCTGGATAATGTCTATATATGCGATGGTTATCTGAGTTGTTCAGAGTACTTTTTGGATAATAAAAGAAATTTCTTGTTATTACATCATGAGAGAATGCCCTTAAGGGAAAATGAATCTACGTCAAGTTTACAAGAAAAACAGCTCCAGCGAGGTTGAGAAAGCATGTTGGTGGCAGAATCTTCCACTGGCTCTCCTGGCTGGGTTTGCAGTGTATGGCTGAGTCCCAGGCCCAACGGTCTGCTTATAACTAGTCTCTGCAAAAGTGTCTTTGCCCAGTGTTGAAGCTTGTTTCTTCCAAGTGACACCTACCCTTCCTTTTGCTACATTATTTCCTCCTACTCTCTTCAACTGATCTGTATCATGGAATTTTTTATGGGTGGCTTTTAGTCACTGTTGTTTACACCCCTACCTGCTAGAGGAGTCTGTTCCCAGAAAGGACCCCCTTGTCTCTAAACTCTCAGTATATTTATTCCCAGTGTGATGCTTCCTGCGTGACACACTTCTGCTTTGACTTTTGCCTGTTTTCCTCATGTAAATAAACAATTAGTGTGTTTTCAGCTAATTACTCAACATTTTTAAAAAGAATAACCAGCTTTCTGATTGAAGACATTGAGGGAAGATAATAATAGCTATCCTTGCCTAAAAGAACTGGAACCTCAAAAATTTACTTCTTCCTGATGGTCAAACTTCTTATGGCTTCTGAGCAGCAGTTGAACTCTGTCCTTTTCTCATAATTAATTCCTATTTCCCCTGTTGTTTGCCTCCTAAGTTCCTGGATAAACTTGAATGTTGCTCCCAAGTTTTAAACAGTGAGCTGACAAAGTAGAGGCTAATTGATAGTTTGATAAATGCTAGGAACCATTTCTTGGGCTCCCCACTGTATAAATTAATATTCCTCAATCTTCTATTTCAGCCAGTGCTTCAAAGGCAAGCATTTTATAAGGCTGTCTGTTTTCCGTATCTTGGTGTGAAGGTTGTTGCTCTGCTTTCTACCCTCAGATGCTGGAGAATCAGATGGAAGTTCGAAAGAAAGAGATTGAAGAGCTCCAGAGCCAGGCCCAGGCCCTGAGTCAGGAGGGGAAAAGCACCGACGAGGTGGACAGCAAGCGCCTCACCGTGCAGACCAAGTTCACTGAGTTGCTAGAGCCCTTGAACGAAAGGAAGCATAACCTGCTGGCCTCCAAAGAAATCCATCAGTTCAACAGGGATGTGGAAGACGAGATTGTGAGTAGACCCTTGCTGCACAAGTTGCTTTTCTGTAAACCTCCATGCCTGTCCTGCCCGGATCCCATGTCTCACTTCTCTGTTGCACTCAACTTGGGCCATGTTAGTGAGCTGAGTTATTAAATCCCATGTTCTTGGGTATTCACACAAGATGTAACGCCGTTTTTCTGTCTGGTTTTCTAGAAGATACCTGGAGTTTCATTGCTCCTAGAATAGTACTTACAAAAATAAGAATGAGGACTCAGGACAAGTGCAGAATTAAGGATGAAGTACAGCCTAGACTACTAGCCCCCACCCTGTGCAGGAGATAGGCTTGCTCCCCAGGCAGCCCTTTCCTCATAGCACCGAGCACACCCTCTCAGGCTGGCCTCCTGGCTGCACATGTTTGTGTCAGATATTTGTTCTCTCCAAGTGGTCCTTGACCACCTGTTCACAATTCTTTGCAGTTGTGGGTTGGAGAGAGGATGCCTTTGGCAACTTCCACGGATCATGGCCACAACCTCCAGACTGTGCAGCTGTTAATAAAGAAAAATCAGGTAAGCGTTTCTGCTTGGGCTAGCTCATTCTGATAAACAGCTGCTCCATATTACAAGGCAGGGAATGGGAGAGACTTGTGAAGGCTTGTGGTTCCCCCTTGGCCCTCATGAAACAGCCTGGTGTTGGAGGTGAGTAAGACTTTTGTGTGTTCCCCACACTCACAGACCCTCCAGAAAGAAATCCAGGGGCACCAGCCTCGTATCGATGACATCTTTGAGAGGAGCCAAAACATCGTCACCGACAGTAGCAGCCTCAGTGCCGAGGCTATCCGGCAGAGGCTCGCTGACCTGAAGCAGCTGTGGGGCCTCCTCATCGAGGAGACAGAGAGGCGCCACAGGCGGCTAGAGGAGGCGCACAGGGCCCAGCAATACTACTTTGACGCGGCTGAGGCCGAGGCGTGGATGAGCGAGCAGGAGCTGTACATGATGTCTGAGGAGAAGGCCAAGGTGAGAGAGGGTTCTGGCCCTCCCCGAAGGAAGCAGAGTCTCATTACTGCCCCCAGGGAGGCTCAGACTCAGACCCCAACCTTGTTTCTGCTGGTGGCTGTGGCTTTGAAACATTTCACTGTTACATGTAAGTGTCATGGGGGCACGATAGCGCCTGAAGGTGACCAGAATCTGGCTATTTCCCTGTGATACGGAATTGTCTTGTGTGAACCCTGGTATGCCATTAAGACTGGGTTCATCCAACCTGCCTTTTTTCTTTCTTTTTTAATAGATATGTATCAGAATCTTTCTTGTTCTCTCTAGCTAATAACCTTTACAAGATGCTTTGAGACAATTTGAAAGTATTTCAAGGTTCCAGAATGCTGTTATCTACCCCCCACCAGTTAGACCAAGGGCTTGAGCCAGCCAGGGGATTGGTTTCCTGGCTTTGCCTCATTCCTCAGGCAGGTCTGGTCGTGCTGTGTTAGCCCCCTGCTCGTCTTCCAGAGGCCCCAGTCCAGTCCGAACTGATTCTCTGGATGTGATACGGAATTGTCTTGTGTGAACCCTGGTATGCCATTAAGACTGGGTTCATCCAACCTGCCTTTTTTCTTTCTTTTTTAATAGATATGTATCAGAATCTTTCTTGTTCTCTCTAGCTAATAACCTTTACAAGATGCTTTGAGACAATTTGAAAGTATTTCAAGGTTCCAGAATGCTGTTATCTACCCACCAGTTAGACCAAGGGCTTGAGCCAGCCAGGGGATTGGTTTCCTGGCTTTGCCTCATTCCTCAGGCAGGTCTGGTCGTGCTGTGTTAGCCCCCTGCTCGTCTTCCAGAGGCCCCAGTCCAGTCCGAACTGATTCTCTGGAAATGCCTCACAGCACTGCCCGTATCGCACGTTTGTGGGTTTTCTCTTCCTGATGATTCTTGCCCCTGCCCCACCGTGCAGCCAGCTGGTCCCCTCCAAGGAGACCTTGGCTCAGAGGGGGTGCTGTGGCTGTGACAGTCCCCTCTTTCCAGGATGAGCAGAGTGCCGTCTCCATGCTGAAGAAGCACCAGATTCTGGAACAAGCTGTGGAGGACTATGCGGAGACAGTGCACCAGCTCTCTCAGACCAGCCGGGCCCTGGTGGCTGATGGCCATCCTGAAAGGTGGGTGCCGTTTTGTGCAAATGAGGCCAGCCTGTCATTTGCTCCCATCAAGGGCCTCTTATTCTGACCCATGCAAAAGATGATCATGGCATCTGTCTTGAGTAAATGGTAATGTAGGTCTTCGGGAAGCACTCTTTTAAAAAGACCCAGTAGTCCTGTGCAGGCTAGGAAGAGTAAAAACTGTTGTATTAGGAAATGGCTCTTGTGGGTTAACTATCTCCTATTAGCTAAGGCCACATTGAAAGGTTACTGGTGTCAGGAACTGAAAGTGTAGATGGACTTGCACAGATACTGGTTATCAAAGCCACTAACCTTTGGATTGAAAAGTTAACCAGTTTAGGGAAGTAGTTAACTAGATTTAAGAGGAATGATAGATAATACATAGGCCTATCAAAAAAAGGGCTCCCAAGAACAAAATGATACAGCTTCTAACTCTTTATACATCAAGTCCTTTAAATGCCTCAGGAATTAGAGGGAAAAAAATGTAGGTGTGGTACTCCCTGACTGTATGCCAGGCTCACACATTAACTTCATGGTAGTCATTTGAAGCCTTCTGTGTACCTGCCGTTCATGACTCAGAAAGTCAGCAGATTGTGTCTATGCACTGACCAGGGCAAGCCGGAGGTGAGGTTGGTGGCTGTGTGTGGGGGTGGGCCTTTGGGTGTTCATCATCAGGGTTCCCAGGCGAGGGGCCTTCCTAGTCTCTAGGGAGGGGCATCAGCCAGTCCTTGTCTTCCTCCAAGAGAGGCCTCCTATGGAGAAGTTGGAGGGAGGGGCTGCAGCTTTCCCCAACCCACGGAGCAGGAGCAGCGAGGGCTGCGCTCCTGGTGGAGAGCACGCGGCCTGGAGGATGTCATGGTGTGCACCAGACAGGGATGTCATGTGTCTCTTTGGCAGCCTGGTATCTGAGAAAGGGAGAACACTCCTGGGTTTTGCATTGACATTTAACATCAGAGAAAATCCTGACATACAGAGCCAGCCATACAGAGATAGGGCTCCCCTCCCTCCACCACCACAGTCAGGGTGGCCTTCGGCCTCAGTTACTGTTCAGTTTACGTGTTCGCTCTTCATTACTTGAAGTTGAGGTCAAATTTTAGGGTTTTACTTTGAAGGCTAAAGAGGTTAACCAGAAGTTTCCTTCAAGAAATTTTTACATACTTGCGCTCTTGGCATTTTACCTCATTTGTTTTCTCCCTGAAGAAATTATGACACTTAAGGTCCTCTGTTTGCCTCCGCCCCCTCTTTTTCAGTGAGCGCATCAGCATGCGGCAATCCAAAGTGGATAAGCTGTACGCTGGTCTGAAGGACCTTGCTGAAGAGAGGAGAGGCAAGCTGGACGAGAGGCACAGGCTGTTCCAGCTCAACCGAGAGGTGGATGACCTGGAGCAGTGGATCGCCGAGAGGGAGGTGGTCGCAGGGTCGCATGAGTTGGGGCAGGACTACGAGCATGTCACGGCAAGTACTCTGGGCACAGCATGGATGGCTGCAATGAGCGAGGGGTGCAGAGGGCCATTTGCATTCCTTGTCTGTGAACAGACCAAACACCCTGGAATCAAATCAAAGGTCATGCGGTTTAGTTTCAGCTTCATGTTTTTATCACCAGGCGACTTTGACTACGTTGTTTAACCCCTCTGTGCCCTCTTCTCCAGTAGTGAAAGGAGATGGAGCCAACATCTTACTTTGCTACACTGAGTAAGAAGGAAGCCTGATTGATAAGAGGTTTAAAGCTACTCTCTGTTTGCTAGGTCACACATATCATTCATTCATGTGATCAGAGGGCATTCATGTGGTCAAAAAATAATGTTCACACTAGTCTCACTAATTTCTTTATGCACATCCCTGTTTCAGATGTTACAAGAACGATTCCGGGAATTTGCTCGAGACACAGGGAACATTGGACAGGAGCGTGTGGACACGGTCAATCACATGGCAGATGAACTCATCAACTCTGGACATTCAGATGCCGCCACCATTGCTGAGTGGAAGGACGGGCTCAATGAAGCCTGGGCTGACCTCCTGGAGCTCATTGACACGAGAACACAGATTCTTGCTGCCTCCTATGAACTGCATAAGTTTTACCATGACGCCAAGGAGATCTTTGGGCGCATACAGGACAAACACAAGAAGCTCCCCGAGGAGCTTGGGAGAGATCAGAACACCGTTGAGACCTTACAGAGAATGCACACCACATTTGAGCATGACATCCAGGCCCTGGGCACTCAGGTGGGTGGGGGACCTACCCAGGGATTGTGGGGGATGTTTTCTTTCCATACAGCGCCTTAAGGCATCTCTGAGGATCTCCACTCCTTAGCTCCTCAAAACATTGCTCAGAGAATTGTCCAAATCAAATGCACACGTATGCATGCATCCAGGCACCTTGCCATGGGTCTCCATCTGGGAGACCTCAAAACCCACCATCTGAGTTTGCCGTGTTTGCAGACATGGTTAGATGAACATCCCCATGATTCAAGTAAATAAACCAGATGCACACACAAGCATTTGCAAGTTGCCTTTCAACAAGAATTTCCATTATGTTAGCATATCTATCAAGAATAATTTCCAGAACAATACCTTATTACTATTTTCCATCAACCAGGGTCTTAGTTTTATATCCAGAAAGAGGAAAAACAAGATTCTTAGGTTTTTAACATACCTGGTCTTCCTGCCCCCCCCCACTATAAAAAGGCTAACACTAAGACTATGTAAAAGATGTCTGACAAAGTGATTGCATTATAACAGTAAGAATCTGGTATAATGCCTCCCTGGTTTGCTCTCTCGTCTCTGTACAGTTTCTTGTTTAGTCTTACTGTCTTTGAGATGAAAAACAAGGTTTTTTCCCTAAATTTCATGATCCTAGAGAAGAATTCAGTTTTATTTAAGACGCCAGCTATGAATACATGAGGGGTTTTATTTTTGTCCACTAGGAGCACACTAATAATGTAGTGCCAGGGCCAGCAAAGATCTGTAGAAGCCCAGGTAATAAATATTTGTGGCTTGGGGGGAAATACGGTCCCTGTTGAAACTACTCAGCTCTACCGTTGTAGCATAAAGCAGCCATAGACATGAAAATGAAAGGGCATGGCTGTGTACCACTGCCTCTGTATTTAGAAAAACAGGCAGATCTGACTTGGGCTGACCCCGATCTAGTGTGGCAGCCTTGCCGTTATTTGGGGTGCTCTGGGGGGGGGGCACCTTTACTGCCATTGTCTTCTCACTTCCCCTTAATTTTTCCCTTCTAGAGGCTTTCAGATCACAGCTGGGGCTCTGTTCAGATCAGGTGGCTTCAGTTTGTCCACCAAGGTGGGGGTAGAAGGTATTGAGAAGATATTTGAAATATATGGAGCGGCTGGGGGTCTGCATGAAGCAGAATTTAAAAGGGCCCACTGTGCATTCATTGTAAGGGCTTCCAATCGCAGTATCAAAAGGTACATGCACCTGTAATTTTGATGGGTACTGTGTGTGCCTTATCCTTTCAGCTGTAACTTACTGTCCTTTCAACAATGAATTGGCTCCCTGGCAGGTAAATCATCAAACTTGAGTTTTTGCCAACTAATATATGATAAATTACAGTATATCCTTGTAGCATCTTTTCATGAGACCCATGTACATTTCCTGTTCTGCAAAGTTTTTGTTGAAATATGGCTAGTTAGAATTTCACTTACTTTGACATCAATCAGTTTTTGCATCTACATTAGTGCTGCATTTTTATGTTTTTCAAGTTGAAATGTCCCACTGTGAGAGCTCTTAGAGGGGACATATATATCACATAGCAATGGAAAAGGTGTTCCAAAATGAGTTACTCACAGCAGTTTCTCATTCATGGCTAAAACATCTGTAGACTGCAGGAGCTGATTGGCTGTTCATTCTTTAATACATCAGGATATGTACCATGTGTTTTTTTGTGCCATCTTAAATAGTCACCTCCAGGGGACCTGTCGAGGTCTGCTGCCTACATTCCTGTGGCATTTCATTTGTCTTGTCATTGATGCAGAACTTATAATGTCATTCAGTGCATTTATAGTAAACTCTGGTTTCTCTGACTTGAATCTCCCCAGTGAGATTGTGAGCCTCTCGGGGGACGGGG